CTTTAGGTGTCACCAGAAAGCTTAACATTATGTGTGTGGCTCACATTTGTGACTCAAATTCTATTTCCATGGGACAGTGCCGGTCTGAAACATGCAACAGATGAGGAGACAAAGAGCAACTTGCGGAGTTTTTAGGAAGCGCATACATCAAAATATAGACACTCACAGAGTCCGATTAAAATTTAAATACAGCGCAAACACAAAGGCTCTAACTCCAGAAAAAGTCCTATGGCAATTTGAAGTAAAAGTGCGCAAGAAAAAGTAAGCGTGGCTGCTCGCTCTCCCACCGAGACAGGTATTCCAGGCTTCTTAAAAAATCTCCTTTCCGGCAAGAGAAGGCAGCACAGATGCTGCCTTCACTCTAGCACCTGTCGTTCCAGGCTTCTCCAAGGCCAACAAGCTGGGGTGTGTGCCCAACCGCCAGGGAGCTGAGACTTCTTCCCAGTGGCCCAAAAGGTAGGCTCAGCCAGGAGACAAACCATGTGGCACAGGACACCTACTCCACAGGGTTCAAGTCAAAATCAACTGGAATAATAAGTAAGAAAAGAAGAGTCGAACTGGGAAAGTGCAGGGTACCTGCAGCACATCAAGGTGTGTCATCGGTCCACTACCTTGCCAACTCCTTTAACGGTAGGAATTACATTTATCGTGCACATGGATCGGCAAACGGAAATAAAACAGAAGTTTCATGAGACAACACTTACCTTCCATACTGTGCTATGCCTCTGCACTTTGGTGTCCTTCTATGTTCCATTCCGTTCTTTTTTTACGCTGACCGTGAACCACGAAATTGATTTTACAGTGGGTCACGATTCGCAACCTAGCCCTGGGTATGGCGAAAAAGAGATGTAGTCCTTGCTCTGTGATGCTCGCTGCACCCCTCTCTCCAGAATCCGGGCATCCAGATGGGACCTCAGAATCCTTCTCAACACAGTGCTCTAGGCAGCTACAGCCAATCACTTGAAGTCAGAATCAGGGATGAAACCTGTTTATTATTATCCTTGTTCTGATCCAAGATCTCAAAAACTGAGGCTCAGAAGGAAAAAGTGATTTGTCCAAGGTCATACAGCAAGACCCTGGGTGAACTAGGGCTCCTGTGGACCCACAAGGCCACTTCACTTTACATCACCAGGGAGGAGACACTACTGACCCCAAACATAACAAGAGCATGGACAAAATTTAAATTTTCACCACAACCACGGAAAGTCAGCTTATACATCCACTAAAACACAGCAGGGGAAGTTCTTACCACCCCACCAAGGAGAAGACATGAGGATTCTGAGGTCAGAGGTAGCAGCATGCCAAGAGCGGAGTCAAAGGGGGGGGGCGCGGATTGTATGTGACAATGGAGGAGTTTTTAAACTCTGTTTCTCAAATGAAACAAACCACTGGCTGTTTATTTTCTAGAACCAGGGAGAGGTCAGCCTTATGCTGACCAGCCATCTTTGTTGCTTTTCTTCTGCAAAAGCAAGAGCCCTTGTTCAAGTTCACCTCTGTGCAGGGCTGAGAGTATAAGCAAACCCTTTTTCCTAGTTTGGTCCAAAGTCAAGCTGTAAAGCAGGCCCTTGAAATTTCAAACCTTATTAGAAAAAAAAAAAAAAAAAACTCCTTAGGCAGAAAAGCAAAACATTAAGTAATAAGAGTCTCTACTGTGAAACAGTATAAATGATCTTTCACCAAAATAACTCAGCCCATCATCAAATTACCACCCCTCGAGTCCAATTTGCCAATTTTTTGCCCAATATTATAAGAGAGTTTGGTGAACAGACATAGGTTAATAAAAATGAGCTCATATATCCATTTCTGGTCACACTTCCATCTAAAATAGGTGAGAGAGGCCAAGGCCTAGGTCAGATCTTAGTCCTGGGAGACGCCAATAGAAACAAAAGAGAACTGACCCCGCCCCCAACAGTACCATCATGCACTTCTATTTCCTTTACAACAAACATGATCAGAATAACCAATTTTTTTTTTATAAAAGGAAAAAACAAGTCTACAAAACAGAAATGATTTTCAATTCCTCACGGGGGTTCCCTTGAAACCATAGACAACACAACAAAATTTCACAGAATGGAATTGAAGGAATCTGAGTTGTGTGTCAGGAGACCCAGGACACACAAAGGGACGTGCTGCAATATTTTTCATTCCTTGCACCAGAAATAACCTGTTATCTACAACCCTGACTTTTTCTCAGATGCCCAGTAGGGGTGCCCACCTACCCCTCCCCAACCCAGGGCAGAACTCCCCTCCATCACTTGCTAAACTCAGTCCTACTGTCTCAGGAGGCCTCCAGAGCCCTTGGAAATTACAAATTCTTTGACCGTCCTAGGCATCAGCCTAAATAATTCAACAGAAAAAAAAATTTTTTTTTTCAATTATCCTACTTAAAAACAACAACAACAACAACAACAAAACACCTCACTCCAAATATGTCAGAATATGGCCGGTCAGCCCTGAAGGAGGTCATTACTAAAAAAATAAAATCTCCCAAATGCAATGGTGATGATGGGAAATGTCGAACCTCTGCCACTGTCAAATATATTTCACAGAATTCGCATCCCCTCAGAAATTTGAATCCCCACAAAACGGGGCGGGAATCCATGAACTGGGGCCACCATTTTTTCCAAGACTAGCTGGTACCCAGCTTAAGGGACACAGGGTTTCCCATCCTAACCCCGGGTGACCCCCATAACCCCCACACAAGGTTCCACCAAGATCCCACCCTGCCAATGCTAACAATATCCCCCCCTCCTCTGAACAGAAAGATTAAAAACTTTTTTTTTTGGTTCAAAATCTCCAGCAAATTCAACCAGATACGAATTCATCAAAAATAACCCTTCAACTTTGGGTGACCTTATTTTCATCTGCTAAATTTCAATTCAGTCAATATTTGTCCTCTAAAAAAAAAATTTTTGTTTTCACCTTCATTTGATTTCATTTTAAGGCCAAAAAACTACATCAAATACTGTTTGCATTTGTGCTTTTATGTCCCAAAGGCAAGTACCTTTGGGTCGGCTTTTGTGTCTATTTTCATTTTTCTTCTTTTAAAAAAATTAAATTTTGATGCTACAATCAGCCGAATTGGTGTTTTACCCCATTTTTTCAGCAAACTTAAGTGTTCCACTAGAGAAGATGGATAAGAATCAAAATTTTCATCTCCTCTCTGTCCTCCTTTTATCTTTCCTTCTTAAGTCAGTAAAATTTGTGTTTTTTTAATCACAGACCCCCCAAAATGATCAAAGCGAATGGATTTTCTTTTCCCCTTTGAAAGTAATCAAATTTGTGAAAAATACCAAATGCTAATGAACTACCAACCCCACATCACAATCAGAGGCCTAAAACCAATCTGGATTTCTTAAAAAATAATAAATTTTTCAAATTGGAAGAGTAAGCAAGCACAGAGAAGGGAAAATTCTCTCCTAGCAAGGATTCTTCAACCCTTGTCTTTATCAACTGATTCAGTTGCATGTCATAAAAAATGAGCTTTTGTGAATCCACTGTTAGTTTTTTCATAATAATGTTAATTATGCATATCTTATTTTAATGGCGGTCTCTCCTACAAATCTGTGGGCTACTCAATTTGTATAATGTAATGAATTTACATTTTTTTCACTGAATATTGCTCAAAAAAGGTTCCTGACATTTTCTAGATAAAACAACAACAAAAAAAGAAATGCCTAGACCTTTCAGGAAACAAAATCAGAAAATAGTCTTAATTATCCCATCAAAACAAAAAACAAAAAAACAAAAAAAACAACACAAAACCCAACAAATGCAGGAAAAAAAAACACAGGATTTCACTCTAACTTTTCCAGTTTCTGTTTTTCTTTAGAACCTTGGGATTTAAATGCAGTAAAATATAAATGCAAAATTGGAAAAAAAAAAAACTACAATTTTTGGGTGTGTCCAAAGCCAACATTTTAGGATCTATTTTCTCTTTTAAATCCTTCCCTCTTGAAAACAGAAAAACTTTAAATATTGCCAAATGGCGAAATTAGTCTTTTCTGCCCACTGGGCTAAACAAGTTCCAAATTACAATGAAGTACAATTTCTAATTGCTTCATAAAGCCAATTCTCCCAGTTTTCTCTAAACTCAACAATTTCCCTCCTTTCCTCATTCCAATTAGTTTTTCTGTCAAACTAAAATGAGTGAGGAAGCCAAATTGACTTCGGTTTTAGGAGGCTTTCTGCTTTCTCCCCCTCAAAAACTGAATTCATTCAAATTCCAGCTTAATTTTCATTTACATATTATCTGGATTTGGCTTCAGAAATAAAAATTGTCTCCATGCTCCAAGAAAGATCAAAGTGAAAATTTTCACCCCAAAAAAGAAAAAAAAAGAATCCTTTCCCCCTCCACTGCTTTATAGTGCAAACTTCTGAAAAAATAAGAAATAAAAAATATTTCTTTTCAATTTTAATTTCTTTTTTTTATTTACAAAATAGTATCCTCTAGGTGGCGTCGTTTTAATGGGAAAAAACTACCGTTTGAAGAAAAATTAGAAAAAAAAATTGAGAAAGGGAAATATGGCCTAAAAAAAAAAAGATTGTTGCAAAGATGGGGGGCCAGAGGGGAAAGACCTCCCGGGGGGTCATTAGGGACCCCAAGCGCAGAGGGGGTCAGGCAGAAATTGCAAATTTGGGGGGGAGGGGGGGAGAGCTGGAAGGGGTTGCATTTTTGCAAAATGTGAATTGTCCAAACTGAAATGGCTGCTCTGTTCTCTCGCCGCTTTGTTTTCTGGGCTCCGGTCCGAGCCCGGGGCTGGAGGGGGCGCTGGGTGGGGGCCCGAAGAGACCCCCGCGTCACCCCCAGCCTCCTCACGCCCCGTGGCGCCCGGGGGGGCTCCCCAGACCCCGACCCCCCGGTTTGCGCCCACAAAAAGCCCGCAAACGTGCCCAGGCACTTTGCATTTTGCAAATCTTGCAATGAAGTGGCGCAGCGCCCCGGGCCCCAGCCCCCCGGGGTCCCCCGCGCGGTGCATGCCCCCGGCCCCCCGTCGTACCTGCGGAGCCGCCGCGCCGCCCGGCTGGTTCATGGGTCCGTGCGGGAGGAGGCGGCCCCGGCGCGTCCTGCTCCTCCCGGGCCGGGCTGCTGGTGCGCGCACAATGCCGCCGCCGCCGCCGCCGCCGCCGCTGCCGCCGCCGCCGCCGCCGCCGCCGCCGCC